TATTACTTGTGAAGACTTAAAGTATCTGCTCTGGATTAATAACCTTTTTATTAGCATTTTTAAGAAAGTGATCTCAGAAAAACCACTTTAGTAAGAGTATCTAATAACCAAATGCTTGGGACAGCAAGAGGAAAAATGGTAATATCATATCTACCAGTAAAGCAGAGCAATCCAAACACTCATCTCCTCAGATGAAAAGGCTTCTAATTTGGAAGAGATTTTATTTTTATTTTTTATTTTAATTTTTTTATTTTAATTTTATTTTATTGCTATATCTGATAGAGGATTACATTTTAATCATCTGTGGTCTGCCCACTGATGAAAAGTTGTGACATTCCTATAGCATCTATCATTGCATGTCTAGGGTAAAGAAAATAGCTGCAAACGTTTCAAGATAGTTGGAGACCCATGCAATTGTAAGGGAAGGTATTTGACAAATTATGAAACCAAATGTCATAGTGGTTTGTTTTTGTTTTTGGTTTTTTTTGTGTGTGTGTATGATGAAACAGATAGAGATTTTCTTTTTTTTTTAATGTTTTGCCCTTTTAGTTGGCTGAGGGAAGCAAACAGACATAGACTAAGGCAAACTTTCACACTGAGGTATCAGATCACATTTAGTAACTTAGAGAGGTGTATTGAAAGGAGAAATGCCTTTACTAACTGTAAATGCTGGCTACAGAAAAGGTTTCTACGTTTAAACAGTGAAGGCTTTTCCTTGCCAATCTGAACACACTGCCTGTGGACTGCAAATATAGCTATTCAATTTATTATATATATATATTATCATATCTTCTGTTCTCTAGAGCAAACTATGACAAATTCTTCCCCTGCTGCACTTTGCAGATCAACTCTACAGTAAAGTCTAATTAGAAGCATATGATATCAATGTCAGATATGATTTAAACATTGCTACACTGAGAGCTTAAAGACACTGAAACAGACAGCATGCCAGCTTAATGAAAGAATAATTTATTTTTTATCACTTACTAATGTTCAAAGCAGACTGCTAAGGTAGACTACTCTTCTTATGAAACACTACAAGAGAAATTTAAAACATTCCAGCACCTTTACTGACCTGAGCAGCTGTCTGAAGCTCAGCTTTGGTCAGGAGAAGAAGTCAGTGGGAGAGATGTCTGCTTTAGACATAATCCTCAGTGTGTGCTCTATTGCCTCAAATTGTTTCTCTTATGCACAGAAACACTTGAACATGGATTCAGAAAGACCGAGGACACAGCAGAACACAAGTAAGACACCTTACAGAGTAAATTACTGGTAAGCAGTCTTTCCACTTTCTTCATCTGTTTGTGCATATATATTCATGTGAGTAACTTCAGGCATTATGTTTTCCTTTATGTGGAAAAAGAGAAGGCCAAAAGGAGAGCTGGGTTCTCTATTTCACATTTTCAGGCTCAGTATCCTGCAGCCAGCTGGGCTGTTGGATATGGAGAGAGCTGGTTTGCAGCCCTCATTAACTCCTCTGGGTGATCATGTTCCATTTGAGAACAGTGACACAGGTACGAAGTACTGACATGGTTGGCAAGAAGATAACACAGCGTCTGTCTCTCCCTGTATTGTCACTTGAAAATTCTTTGTGAGCAGCCCAACTCCTGTTGAACAAAGGTGAGCACTCAGGTCATGCCACCATAGTAACCTGGTGCTTCAGTGGCATCTAGTGATGGAGGCGAGCAGAATTTCGTCATGATCACAACTGTGGTTAAAAACCTCCTCATTGCATTTGGGCCAGCTGCATTTGATGTTGTCTATAGGAGCACAAGGAAGACAGAAATAGCATTGATAAACAGAACACCAGTTTCTTTTTCTAAAAGTAGAGGGAAGTTCTGAAGAAAAAAAAAAAAAGTAGCTGGTGATCTTCTTCAGAGATATTCAAGAGCTGAATAGATTACTACTATAAATCTTAAAAGAGATTAAGTTCAATAAGTACCACCAGATGCTTCATTCCTCCATCAATGAAGGTGACATGACTGTGCACAGTCTAAAATTTTCCAAAATAGGAAAAACTTTAAGGAAGTGTGTGTATATATGTAACATTTGGTGAACTGTCCTTTCTGCCAATAAAAAATTTTATATCAGACAAAATTCAGGGAGTCAAATCCTGAAGCATGTTGCCTAGCAGGTGAATGATTTAATGTTCAGAGAGCCTTAAAGATGGCTCCACAATAACTAGCTACAGTCAGAAATAGGGTTTCTGTGTTAGCAGTGCTGCTGTGCTGTCCATCTAACTTTTTGTATTTGTGCCTGTTCAAAATCTTTGTGCTTCACATTAATTTGCCTTCTCCCCTTCAGTTACATTCTCTCAACATGCTTATGTAGCTTAATTTAGCATATATGCTGAATAATTAATACTTTTAACTGAACTAAACAACACTTTGTCCCCCCAGATAACTGAGTGCTGAGTGCATCAAAAATTGATAATTCATAAATGAAAGTTCCCTGATTTCTCCCTCATCTTCTAATGTGAAGCAATTGATCAGAATAATGTTCAGTAAATAGCTGCTAACTTATGTACTCGGCTGATGTGGATTGCTTCCATGCCTATCAAGCCCCCAGTACAAAGCAGGATCCAATAATAAATATGTGACTCTGGCTGAGCCAGAATAAATGGGGAACTTGGGTCAACAATGAAAATGTATTTTATTTGTGAAATCTGTGATTCCAGATTCTGAAATCACATCATGGTAATATGGGATCTCACCCAAGCCACCTGATACATCAGCTCCATTTTCCCCTCTTGCACTGTATATCATTGTTCCTGTGATTACAGACCTTCTGACAAGTAAGGTTAGGAACAAGTTTTCACTTGTAATGAAGATTCAGAGCTTTTCAAGTCAAGATCCTACACCAAAAGGTACAGTGAACACCAAGAGCAGACTGCCTGGGCATAGAGGCATTTCCTTTTTGCCTGACTGATGGGATTGAAGATACCGAATTTGCTGTGTTAGCCACTAAAATCAACAATGTCTTTACTGCATAGCAATAAAGCACAGAACAAGATAATCAGCTGCATTTCGGAGTACAACCATCACCCTCAGAGATTATTTGGTTTGTGATATTTGATCCAACATGATTCATAGAGCAGAAAATCTAAGTGAGAAAAAAAACCAGCATGCTTCTGAGGAAAACTTTGAATTGGAAACACTGATGGACGCATGCACAAGAACACCTCAAATGAGGCTGAATTACAGTAACTGTGAGCTACTGCTGCATAACAGATAGTGACTACGGAGCTTCCATTCCAGTTGATGTCTTACTTTTCTTACAAGATTATCAATCTGTGTTACTTTCTCAGTGAAAGAAGCAAAATCTTCCTTTCAATCCAAACACTGAAAATCTAATGTAGTTTCTTGGCACTGAATCATAAAAGGATGCAAATTGACATAAAAGCAGATGAATCCCCAACTCAAGCAGATTAAGCCCCAACTCCTAGCTACCCCGGAAAATATTTCTCCTTCCAGTAATATAGTTAACTGGGCTGCTTTCAGTCTTTTATGGGACTTACTTTATCTGGCTCCAATTATAAAACTCATCTTTTTCTTCCTCCCCAAAGATAAAGGATACAGTTTCCTGGTAACTTAATTATAAACAGCTTTGAGGCAGAAGAATGGACTCTAACAGAGAATGTGTAAGTACATCTGAAGTTATTAATAGACAAAATGTGAATACAGTGAATATGATTAATTAGACAAGCCTAGTGTGAAATTTAGCATGCCTTTGGCATAAAAATATCCAGTTAACCTGCAAATTCTGTGTGGAGACCTTTTACCCTTTGACAAAAGCAACAGGTGTGGCCCAGCAATTAGTTCCAATAGCAAGCTGAGTGGACAAAGGGTGCCTGAACAGGGATATATATATATATATATACAATGAGTTCATTTTTTCCCTCGCTTCTTTTGCACTGCAATAATTATATTATATTCCACACAATTTAGGACTTTTTTTGTTGTTGTTAATTAACATTCTAAGATCATCCAACCATTAGAAAAGGTCACAAATTTCTGCGAGCTACCTCTGATGGGGTCACTGTTCAAATAAAATATACCGATCGTATAAGCACAATACAGCATTCACATTATATGAGCACTGATATATTCAAAATAAAATCTGTTACTTGCAGCTGACCGAATGTTCTGAAGCTAGAAGGATTTATATTTGTATTTAATTTCCAACATGAAAATAATCCCATCTTATCATGAAATGTACTGTAGGAATAGTGACTGTTGTGTCACATAACATGCATTATGTTTATTTTGCTTTTTTCTTCTGGAACAGTCATGGGCAAACTATAATATACATAATTTCACACTTTACTTTTAATAATATTTTTCATTTTAGAAGAATCTTCCGTTTTTTTGTAATAAACAAAATGGCAACTTGGTGTGTCACATCTCAGTAATACCTATCTGTTTACAGCTTTTCCCAGCTGGAAATCCTCATCATATGATTAACACCCATAACACAAAACTGACTGCTAAACAAAATTTTATGATATGTTTTGTAAACTGTTCCCTCTCCTTTGGCTACAATAAGTGTCAAAAATGTCAGTCTGCCACCTAAGCAGCTTGAAAGCCAAACTTTTTCAACTTGTGAAAGCTGGGACCTTCAGGGAAAGTCAGGAGAATTCAGTCCATTCTAAACTCTTTATTTTCTGCCTTAGATTTTTGAGGGACTCAAAAAAGAATGCTCAATGCAAGCTGCTGCTCAAAGCTGACTTAGCTTTCCCGTGTAACAGCACTGTATGTGCATCTCATCCTCATACCTGCAAAAATGAGATGTATTCAAAGGCACATCTACAAACTTCAGCCATATTAACTAAATTCCATAATACTTATAGTAGTAAAATAGTATATAAAAAAAGCAAAATAATTTTCAAGTTAAATAAACAATACTCCAAAAACATTCAGATTCTCAGAATGGAATTTCAATAGGATGAATATGATGGTCATGAGTTAAAAAGATGAGTGTCACAGAACATCAGCACTCACCATTCAACCACTTGGAGTTGTACTGGGCAGTTCGGAGAGGAGGAAGGGCCCCCAGACTTCGATAAATAGCAGGATCTCTTCCTGGAAAATCCATGGCTGTAGCAGCATATAATTCTCCACTGGAAGTGAGAAGAGCAGTAGAATTGTGGTGGGGACTGTAGGGACAACGAGCCATGCCACTGATTTGGTCATGTATCTCTGTCAAGTTGCTTAACTGTAAAAGAATTATAAAAAGGTATTAAATTTATCTGAAATTATAATTATGCATCAATCTGAGCAAAATTCTATGAAAAACACCTGTTACCTACTTTATTACTGTACAATAGAGAGAGCCAACCTCTACATCAATCTGAAATTGTCTCATATAGAAAGTCCTACTGTAATGTTGTCAGATCTCACTTCTGCCATTTTAACATGTCAGTCATTATCCAGCATGCTTAAATGCTTTCTATTAGAACGGGCTCAAAAATACACCTCTGCAAAGATTGTTATTATGAAAAATAAAACCAAACCTGATTGCCAGAATCAATAAGGCATCAACAACAACAAAACAAATAACATATTTTTTGTTGCTGTTTGCTTCCTTCTTTGGCCTAATCTGTCTTTGAAGTCAACGTCTGATCTCCTGAGACAAAACAAAAAAACAAAATTTGTTTTGTTGGTGTGCTTTAAGAAAAAATCTCACATGAAAAATTAGAGTAAGAAAAGAAGATTTCCAACTCAGCAGAACCATCTCTGATTTAGTAGCCCAAACACTTTCAGCCGTAAACCACAGCATGATGTTAATATGCTATTTGAAAATAAAGGTGCAATGGGTTTAAGTATAATAAATCTGCCAATGAGTTTTTTAATAATACAGCTATTCTTTGTATTTAAGTGTTTCTACTCTCCTGAAACAAACAGGCAGCCTAGTCCAAACAGTGACATTTTGATACTTATATTATGACTATTACTGATGCTACAATTAGGCTTGTTTTGAACACAGAATGACAGATCTTCTCAGTCAAGATTTCTCATCCTTATCAGTCAGAAATCACTAATACAGGTACTCTCATTTCTCCAGAATTACACATACACAGTATGCAGCTACACAAACACATTTGATAATTAAACCTACTGATGCCAATCAAACCTGATAGTGGCATAAGTCTTATAAACACCCAAGGTTCATAAAAATTTTAATGTGGGAGAAACTGAGCTGCTCCTAGCTGCATGTCTCCCACAGCTGAGGAAAAGCCTGCAAAAAGAGATTGGTTAGCTCTCCTATTTGGCCTGCCACCAGCTAAATCAGCCTTTTACACATCAGCTCACCCATCAGTACACAAATAGCCAGTTCTCAGCCACAACATAATCTGCCTTTTAATCTGCTGGCTCAGAACAGGGACTGCAGCTTGTGGGGCAAAACATTTAACGCTTACCGTGCGATTGGTGCAGATTGGAGTGAATGCATTGGTTCCACAGGTGAAGAGATGGTTGCCTCCAACAAGAAGCACTCTAATATAGTTCTGGCATTCCTCCTGCCACGCAGAAAAGAAGGAATATATTCAGTGATACTGCAGAGTAGAGGAGACTAATAGCACTTTGCTTTCCATGGTTATTTATCCACACAGAAAAATTGTAGGTAAACAAGGGTTAAGCATACCTGAGTAAGCAATCACAATATGCACAGATTTCTTATTCATACACATGCATCCACCAACCTTTCTGAGAAGTTCTTAATAGGATACCAATAAACCCCTCTAGTTCTGAAGATTTCCTCTCAGGATATATTTCAAATGCTTAGCTAAATTTTGAACTGATAGTTCAGATAGATGATCTGATAGATACTGACTTAAATAAAGTAAAAAAAAATATTTAGATGTTCAGATTCAGATTTGTTACCACTAATTTCTTAATTTATCCTGTTTAATTAGAAGCATTTTCATTCTCATTAATTCAAAGTTTTAAAAATAATTTCATTACCACAATACAAAGATGTTGATCCTGAGGAATAATCTGACATGTTTTTTACCCCATTAGGATGGGTGGAGGCATTATGATGTTCATATCTATCATTTTAGGAGCTAGAAATCAACAGCAATTTCCATGCTAATTCAAACACAAAATTTTGTCCTGCAATACTAACAATCTCCCAGAATTATATGAGGAAAAATTCAAACAACTGTCTTGAAAAAAATCAATGTCCATACCCAAATAAATGCTCAACAATATGTTTGGAGAAAATAAAGTTTCCTGGAAACTTACATTTAAAAGTTCTCTAGCATTCACCACAAGACAGTCTCATAAAAAGTCTGAAAAAAATCTTGTGAAAATACAGTTATGCAATTCTGGCTTATATTAAGTGCAATCATGTAAGTAAATCCATACAACAGTGAGAGCACAAAAGTCCCATTATCTGTCCTACAGTTATATTAAATTGATTGCTTGTTTATCTTGAAAACAGGCTCTCATCCTGGAAGACAATAAATAAAATCCTGAATAAATTGGACAGGCAACAGGAAAATAGACTGTAAAAGAAGATGGGGAAAATACTTTAAAGGTCTCTGAGAAAACTTTTAGAATTTATCTTCTATACCTTTCATCAAAAATCAAGTTAAAAATAGACTCAAAAGGAAAATCCTGTAAAATCTCAGGAAAGAAACTACCTCTTGGGAAAAAAAACCCCAAACTCTCAAACACATTAGTTTCTCATGAAAAAGTAGCTTTTAAATACTTCTCTTTGCGCCTTGAAGGACAAGGGACAAACATCTTAGAAGTAATATTTGATTTGTGTTGGGTAAAAGATACAAAGCTTTCATACTGAACTTTATAAAATGTCATCTTAATATTCTTTAAACCACAGAGAAGGTAATACACAACCATATAACCTAGTTGGGCAATATAACAAGCCATTGAAATAGTAGTTATTTCACAGCTTGGCAGTGTTGGTAGTTGTGGCAGTTTCCTTGAGCGTTAACTCTATCACCAAAAATACCCCCAATAACTAGAAAGCAACTTTTTGAGGGATTGTTTTTCGTTTGATTCATTTGAAGGGTGCTCAAGGAGGATCACAGAATGTAAGACAGTGATTTATTCATTGGTCTCTTTCAATTCTGCCCTTTGCAAGAAGGCATGGAATGTACGTGTAGGAAAAATAAGTGGGTTCTGACATTACAACCCATCCAACCTCTCCTCTTCATATTCCAGAGCTCACTGAAACAGTGTCATTTTCAAATTACTTGCATGCTGATCACCCATGCATTTTGTTCAAAAATAATGCTGATTTCTTAAACTCTGACATTCTCGGCAATCACATGATTCTTTCTTTACTGTTCCCAAGTCCTGTGGCAGCTTGACAACAATCCATACTGCAACAGGGCAAATAAGACATCTCATATGGAATTTTTGTTGGGAACACAGTGCAAAAAATGGAAAATGAAAGAATAACTTTTTTTTTTTAATTTGCCTACTTTCTTAATTTGAAAAAAATATCCACATTAATGCAAAAGAAAATTTAAAAGAATTGGTCTTGAATAAAGCTATCACTACCCAAAAACACACTGAAGAAGGACTTTACTATTTAGTCACTTGAATTATTCAGAGATACTTTTCTAGCTCTGAAGTCAAGTTTGGCTGTAGTGGTTCACTTCTGACAAACGCACACATGCAAATACGAGACCGAAAACCAAAGGATTTTTTAGGCCAGAGGGTGGTGCTGGGCTTGGTAGCCATCTTTTATGTAGTCTTATTCTCCAGTTCATGTCAACCTCTATGTCATATACTTCCATATTTGCCTATAAAAATATATCTGAAATAAAGAAATACATTTAGAACATAATTTCTACTTTTGTATCAGGGTATCTGAAACAAAATACGACTGTAAGAAACAATTCAGCAGCCAGGCAGTCTAGGTTGTTACTTAAGACTATCTTGAACAGTCCAAAGTCAATCTGACTACAAAATAATTATCATCTTGCAGCAGTATTTCTTGTATAGGTTAACATTTTAAACATACCTGCATTTAATTTTTTAAATACTTTTATTGAGGTTCAGATACTAACACACCCAGCCATTAGAATCTTCAATAAGCAACAGACAGGACTTAATTTCAATTTGCATTATTATTTTTAACCTCTCTCAGGTTTATTGCATTCTCAACAAGTGCATTTATATTTTTTCTTTCTAATATTCCCTGCCACAAGTGTCAATATGTATAGACAAATTTATTCTCTTAGTTGTGTCTGGGAATTCAGACTTCTACATGCTAATGCATGCTGGCCACAAGGACATAATTTAGTCACTCAAAATGCTCACTCTTGGAGCCATTAGGCAAAAGCTTAAATTAGTAGATAAATGTCTGAAGTCTGAGTAACAAACATTGGCCTTCAAAAGTCAAGTGCGCATTACACTGTCAAATGTGACAGATGTCCCCATATTATTTTCCCCTTCAGCTCTTCTCTCCTTGGCTTCTAAAGCATAAATCTCAGAACTGAAAACAGCCACAGGTGAAAATTCTGTGCAGCTTCTTTCTCAAGAACAAAAAAAGAGTTGTGTTTCACTGATCATTATCTCAAAACTACTTGAGCTGCTTCAGGGTTCAAAGCCACCTTCTGGTTTCAGGGCATTCACTCCATCAGTTAATGTGACTTTCAAGCAATGAGTTCAGATTTTGCCACCTGAACTTACTGCCCTCATGTTGCTCTGTGGTCAGCAGAGTTTCAGAGAAACCAGGACCTGAATGCATAACCTACCCACAGCCATCCCTGGAATCCTTATCTCTCCTGTGCCACAGTCTGGGCTGGCCTCAACATTTTGACTCCAGTCTTTCCTGTGTCTTCCTACAGTTACATGTTCCTGCCCTGAAACAGGAATTCACTTGAGAAATGTTACAGAAATAGAACCCCTAGCAACTCTGCAATTTGGGCTGCATCTATTTATACAACAGGTAAGCAAGCAAGTTTTTCTGGCAACAGTAACTGGAATTGTATTTGCAAAGATATTTTCTCTGAAGAGGGACAATGTAGCACTGGAATGAATTCCTCCTGATTTGATAATTCCCAGTTTTTCCAAGGGAAGGCTCAGTATAGATCTCCTTGTACAAAGAGTACAGTAACCTTGCTGTAGTCCTGGAAATAAGGCAATAAAAGACAAACATCATTTGACTATCCTTTCTCTGATCATAAATTTATCTTTGATTTTAACCTTGACCACAGTGAAAACAAAAGAGGCACAAAAAGTTCAAAAAGACAGTTGTCATTCCAGCTGGGTGGGTTTTTTCAGACAGTATCTCTGCATTCTCCAGCAACTCCCATATGAAGCTTTCAGGCCAAAAAGTTTGCACACCAAAAAAAACCCCAACCCAAATGGTAGCAATAAGACATATTTACTCCCATGATTTCTTTTGAATGTAATGAATCATAATGACTATAGTCCTCTTCTAGATTGTGAATGAGGAACATGGCTATTGGGTACAAAAGAAATCTTTAGACAAATAATACCAGTACTAAGTATTGGTAAGAAACAATCCCAGAGGTCATTATTTGAATCGCATATATACCATTTTACAACAACAATTTAACTTCCAATCATCATCCTCTTCAAAAGGGTGTGATGAACATAAATGAAACTCTGAATGAATAAAAAACTACACTAAGGCCTATTCTTAAATGTGTATCACCAGTGTTGTGTGTTTGTCCTAACAAAATTATTTAGTAGCTACAGATGCTTTGCACTGTTGAATCAAACGTGTGGTGACAGTGTTGTCAACATACTATTCGAAAGTATATGCTATGGCCTTGAATTTACTTCCATTCATCATGTTAGATCACAGTCACTGCACTATGACTTTCAGACAGGTTGAATGTTACTCTCACAGCCTTAAACTTGGAAAATCATTGTGAAACAAAGCCATATATGTTTAGTTACACAGAGCATTCCAACCAGAATAGTTTCTACTGTATATGCCCCTTGATCAATACATTGTGACATACTCAATTGACGCTTCAACATATTCCCTTACTTCCAAGTATTGTCATCTGAAAGCTAAGGATAAAGGCTTGAGGGATATATTACATATTGTAGCATAAATTTTTTAAGGAAAAATAACAACTTAGAAAATTAAACATTTACTTAAAATATGAGATTCCAAAAGTCCTTTCTTTTCTATACCTCACAGTGTAACATGGCCCTGCTTCAGAAGTGAGGCCATTCTTCCCCTTTGATCTCAAATATACAATCAAACACTGCAATTTTATTTTCCAGTACTTAGTGAAAAAGGAGATGTAAATTAACTGTTTAATGGAAGAAATTTAAAAGTCAGTGATTAGATAATAATACAGAAGAGATTTCTCCTCTACTAGATGATAGAGATTTTGTAATATGTCTTTGATGCTTGGTATTTTTTGAGTTTAGCACAACAATAATGTATGAAACACATTCTACTGAATAAAAGTGTGCTCTTTTGTGTTATCACTCTTGATGTGTTCTCCCTTTATGTTTAGCTGAATTAACTTCAATCATTAAACAGTATAAAAATTAAAAGCATAGATTGTATGCAATTGTAATTCCTTTTATAATTAAATTACTAGCTTCAGGCTGGGACAGCCAAAGGTTCCATCTCAGCAACACATTTACCTGTACTGAATAATAGAAATTGCATCTGGCCAAATAAAGAATTGGCTTTAAATACAAAAATACATCAAGTTCAATGTCTAAGAAGCTAGTGAATTTAATATTATTTTCTTCATAGCACCATTAGATAGGAAATAAAAAAGTTAATAAAATTGCATCTTAAACACAGAGATATAAACTGAGAATTTTACAAAGAAATAACACAGTTGTTTGGGATTTACAGCGCAGAAAATGAAGTGAGAATACAATTCCCTACATATAACATGCCATGCTTAACCCTGGTGTCAAAACAGTAAATTGTTGGAAGCTAAAGTTCATGGCCATTTCAGACAGTAATCATGTGACTGTATGTCTCATCCTGTGCTCCCTATACTCTTCTTTATTTCTTTGCTTACACATCAGTGTCAGACTCCTTTCCTATATCTCTCTTAAGAAAGGGAGACAGTAAAAATGCGTAAGGTGGGGATTTATGCATCTGCTATTACCATAAAACTTTTATTAAAGCAGAAAGCCCTGCCTCATGCTTACCTTTGATTTTCCTTTACTGTAACAGGCTCTTTTAGTAGCTTCATCACATTGCCACTCCACTGCCTGCAACCAAAAGGAACTTTTTAGAAATGCAAGTAACACAAAAATATAAGCCTCTGAGCTATTCAAGTCCATGTTTATTTTATGTGTTTCAGACATAGTGACAATTAGCCATGAATAATCCTATTCATAAATGCCTTTTAAGAGTTTTCTCCTTAGGAATGTAGTTTTGCTGTTGAAGGTTCTTCATTATTTAAATCCAAAAGGAAGCTGGCCAACATCACGATTCACTGTACCCATCACTACAGCAGAAACAACCACAGGTACATTTGATGCTATTTACCCTTTTTTTAAGCAGATGGAGGAACACACAGGAAGGCTGAACCTCTTTCTCCATCAGAGCTGGGCTATATCACCACAGCATCTGAGGTCAGCTCTGCTGAGAAACCTTTCACAATGGGGAAGTGTGCCCTATTGTACTTTTTGAAGTATCTATTTCAAGCATCAAGTGGAGATTTTAGTCTCTAAAGCTGTGACTGCAGCACTAATCAGAAGCACTAAAACATCCATTCAGAGAAAGAAGCAGTGGGCAGAGATATACAAGACTATAGTGAAACAGTGCACTGCAAAGTAGAAGCAATTTGTGCTCATTTTTTGAGGATTTTTCGATGTCTCACTGCTTCAACAGATTTGTCCCAGGACTACAATGCCTAGTCTGCATTACTACAGTTTCACTGCATGAGTTAATTCCTGTTATTTTCATATTTAACATTCAGCAGCTATGATTTACAAAATTTGCTGATCAGTGGATCAGGCTGCATGCTTGGTGTTAATGTGCCAGTACATGTACATATGTGAATGCCTATACATATATATATATATATATATATATTGCACATCCATATGTTCTTAAGATAAAAATGCCACAAAACGCTTCACATTTTATCAAAAAGAATTGAGATTTCTGAAGTAACCACTGCTGCCTAATTACTGAAACCACAGTCACTTCATTTTTTTTTACAAGGAAATAATGAAAGACCATTTATCCAGGTTTAATATAGGAAGTATTTTGTACCTGTCTTTTCATGGAGACTGTATTAACAGCAAGCAGACTATCTAATTAATAATAGGGTGAAAGCCCAGTTAAATTAAGGGGAGAAATGCCTTTCAGAGTATTTGTGTTTCAACAAGCCCAAGAATGAACATTTTTCACTTCAAGAAAAATACCCCGACTTATAAAAATTAATGTGATTACTTCTTTTCCTTCATCCTAAACCTTCTTGTTTACAGCATTTGCTTTTGCAATGATAAATGACTATGCTGTATGGGGGAATATATTGAAAACTTCTGTAAGAATCCACTTGTGAATGACCCTAGAATTTCATCTCATAAAGATGAAAGAAATCTCATACTGAGTTAGATAAAAAAGCAGCAATGACCTAACTCTTTTGACTTGGTAAGGCAAAAAGCAATTCATATCCGTAACGGATTGTAGGATGACCAACTGAATTCCTAATCAATCCATTAGGACACACTGAATGTCCATGTTATATGGCACTAGATACAAGTGCCAAATATGTTATCTCTGAACAGCACAAAAAATTTCAAACACCTGGAGAAACACAAGAGTTGTTACTGTGAGGAGGTCAGAGTAGAAAGAGAGTGAAATATGGATACTTAAAAGGAAGGTTTAAAGGAAAGCTCTTGCCAAAACTGAACCCAAAAAAACATGTCAAGCACAAACAAAAGGAAAAAGATTGAATTAAATACAAAATGTTTATCAAGAAATCAATTTTCAGTGACAAAATACCCAGCTTTCAATTGGCTCTGAGTCCACAGTAAAATTGATTTGAAGGAGGATGTGAAATATTAAAACATTATGTAATATTTCTGGACATCATAGTTAACAGCACATAAAAGAAACCAAGAAACTGCTACAAATAGATATATTTGCTTGCAAGTTAACCAAATGGACAACTCTCTGGGAAAGCCCTATTCAAGACATCTGCTAAAAGGAGCAATATGTGGATAAGAAATAAAATGCAGACGCACTGGTAACAAAGCTAAGTCCCATCTTTGAAATCAAGTGTACTTATAGTCCTATAGCCCTTGGTTCCACTGCTAGAGCAGTGTGATAGATTGGCATTTAAGAAAACAAAGAGAAACACCTAAGGAAGTTAAAACTGCTGGAGGCTGATGGGAGTTTTTCTCCTAGCCAACAGCTGGCCATTTCTAAGAATTGACAGCAGTTTTGACCATTGAAAAGTGAGATCAACCTGTGAACACTACCTTAAGACCTAAGCCTGGGAATTTCTTGGTCTCTTTGTTTCCTGGCTGTGAAAGGTAACTGAGCTTTAGCTGGCCTCCTGCTCCCCTGCTCAGGCCACGTGGCCCAGGCAGGAGCTGGGCTGGGCCCAGCGGCTCCCGGCCGGGAGATGGGGCCTGTGGGCCTGTGGGGCTTGCCCCGGGCTCTGGCCGGGCCAGGCTGCTCCCTGGCTCGGCTGCAGTTTTTTTGCTGTGACGGAATTCACCAGGAACTACCAAGTAAAGAAAGAAAAAAGCTCTTGACCCGCGGCGAGCTGAGACAGTGACCACACTCTCTAGAGCAGCCATGAAGAATCTTCCATCAAAGACAGCTCCAGCTGCTGCTCCGGAAGAGATCACAGAACCATCTACAAAGCCTGGGCAAGATTTTAACCCTTTCATTACCCAGATGAGACTTGCAGACTAATCCTTTTTTTCAGAGAAACAAAAAGAGAGTAATCAACATGAAAAAAGACATTATAAACTATCAGAGACAGTAAAGAAAAGAATTAAGCTTCAGAAAAGGGTAGAGAATAAGGAGATGCTTTATAAGTTGAAATATTTTTCTGTTAAAGCTATGGAGATGGACAATAGCATCCTGAAAAAACTCCTTTAATTCATGACAGAGTATATAGGGAGGAATGGAGTGTTCAAAGTTTAGATTTTGAGCAAAAGGTGGAGTAATTGTGATACAGTGAGGTGCTAGAATAGAAAGAGAGAAGTAATAGTTGAAGATTTGGGGCCACTTGAGGCAAAGAGAAAACTTCTGTTTTCCAGGGAAGCTCACAGAGACAGATGAAGAGAACTTTTGCTTTTGAATAACTCATCCTTAAAATAATATCCCTAGACTCATTGACCCATACACACTTCAGAGTGATGTGAAATGGGAGGAGTAAACCGATGACAGATTTCCGGGCAGCTGACATCAGAAAAATAGAGAGCTATAACAGAAATAGCTTTCTTGTGAGAAACTCCATAGATTAGCAGAAGAAAGACTTCTGTTTCTCTACAAAGACTGATGACTCTAGCAGGAATTGGGACTGTTTTAAACACCAAAGTTCCAAAGTTTTTTGTCTCTATGTTGTCATGTGAACAAGGAAATGGTTGGGTAGTGGAGGATAAAGGAGTTTTCTGGAAGTTTATTCTGGTGTTCTTATTCTTGTAGTTTTGTTAAAAAACTTTCTTCATTCCTTTTTAAGCCTGTTTTGCCCTTGTTCTAATCCATATCTCACAGCAAGAAATAAGTAAGTTTTATAGTAATTTTTTAGTTACTGCTTTAAAACCATGACAAGGAGATAACAATAGAGGAGGCAGAAAATGAAGTATAGTACAAAGGCATCTGAAGAGAGATGAGTAGTTCAATCTGTTGTACTTTGGTCCCTAAGGCTCCCACATAATTCAGTAATATTGGCAAACATTTCTATACAGAGCTTTCTTTCTTTTTATCTTCAAAAAATTCAGAGGAGTTTCCCACAAAGTGGAAATTTAGATATTTAACACAGTCTACTGCTTCTACACAGGAGGAAAACAGGTGGAAAACTTGTTAAGATAAACATCATTTCAATGCGGGAAAAAACATGAGAAAAATGTGTCCTGAATCTTCAGCACACAAAGACAAAACAAAATGTCCCAATAGAATAATGACAATGTGGGTTTTACCATTAGAAGATTACGACTTGAAAATTGTCGTTCTGAAAGACCAAATGGACACATATGGATTGCATTATTCTAGAAAGCAAGTGCAAAACCATGTTTATAGATATGACTGTTATCCACTGCTTCTCTTAAACTGACATATTCTCCTGCTTAATACAGATTGATGACATTTCCATGAAGTCCAGAGGAGTGCATATACGACATGCAAACCATGTTGAATACTTATGAAGATCTATACAGCTAAGCTTTATCCTATTAGGATTTTTTTCCAATTTTTCTTAAGAACCTTCAATTTTCACATTCAAAATACAACCTGCAGCATTCAGTGTACTGGATTAATTAATTTTTAATTCATTTTAATTATTTTTAATTAATATTATAATCCTAATTAAGCTGGCAATGAAGTTCATTGAACCAAATTATAGACACTCAGGTTTGTTCACTCTCGGGAAAGAGTAAACAGGGATTTGAAAGTCAGTGTCAGAGAAAATAAAGACAGGTCATACACAGCTACTACTACACATCTCTACAAAGAACACAGCTGCATAGGTTAAGGAGAAGGGTTTAAGGTGGCACACCAGTCTGTTTTTATAGCAAGCTGAAAATATTTACAATGACATGGCTTTTATAAATCCTATGATATGATCTTTCAAGCATGTCCATACATTTAATGCCATAACTTAGTGTGCTCCTAATTTCCCAATCTCCTTCATAAATATATTCTCTTATACATAAATAAACCTTAATTACGTAGTGACATTTTTAACACTGTGAAAGTCAATGTGAGCATCTCAAAAGATTGCACTTGAAAGATACAACTTCAACTTAAGCCGGTGTACTCTGATGAGGTTGTCACAGTTTGCTTTTGAGCACATATTGTTTTGCTTGGTTAAAAAAAAAATGCATAAAACACAAAGCTCCATACATATTTGTAAAATCAGACTGAACAAAACCAAGACTTTGGTGCATACTTAACTCTAACCTTGAACTCAAGTTTCAAACTGATAGCAGGCAGCTTTTTGAAAAATCTCAATTGTAAATAACTGTATAAGTGTTTTAAACATTGATGTTTGTAAAGAACTTCAAAAATTCAGAAGAAATAT